CATCTGTTATCTTTTGATTTTGGTGACTTTCAGATGGATGGTCTGCCAGTTTCTAGCTTACCTATCTTTCTTGCTAATCAAAACTCTAATTTTGTAGGTGGCCTGTGGAAGCCACTCTGTAGCCAGGCATCACCATATTACTAGATTTTGATTCATTGTTGATAAGAGGAAATACCATGGTCAGCTTCTGGGAAGATTCCTGAAAAAGGAAGGCTTCTTTTTCCTTTTCTTCTTTTTGAGAGGAATGAAGACATGATGGCTGGGTTCAGGCAGTGATCTTGGACCATGAGGTATGTCTCAGTCACATCAGGCTGCTTATAACAAAAATGCCAAAAATGTGGTTTAACCAACAGGAATTTATTCCTTATAGTTCTGAAAGCTGGAAAGGGCAAGATAAGGTATCAGCAGATTTGGTGTCTGGTGAGAGCTTTCTTCCTGATTTGTGGAATTAACCTTCTTGCTGTATCATCATGTGATGAAAAAAGAGCTCATCTCTCTCCCATCTCCTCTTACAAGGAGAGTAATCTCATATATGAGGGCTGCTGCTCATAACTGTGTCACCTCCCAAAGGCCCTACCTTCTAATCCCATCACATTGGAAATTAGAACATCAAGCTATGAATTTTTCAAGGGCATAAACATTCAGTCCTTAGCAGGGTATGAGCCATGCACAGGGTGTATTTTAACCACAAGATACCAGGAGCTCCTAGATTGCCTATGTAAGTCAGAGGGAGACTCCTGTTTTGTGTAGCCCTTTTCATCAGTGGTCTGCTCTCCCATGAAGCTGAGCATAGTCTTAGCTGATATACCTATGAATTTATTTCATCTTGTTTGGTATGAGAGATTTTTTTTGAGTTTTTTTTTTTATTTTAACATCAGACTGTGTATCTTAGAGAAGATTCCTTTATTCAATAGACTAGAAAATCTTAACTCTTAAAAATAAAAGCGTGATTTCTACAGCATGTAAGATCTTAGACTTCACATAGGAAGCCACCACCATTGTGATATATTTTTTAAAGCCACAAAGATGCTCCTTTCCTTCTCCTTGACCCTTTCTTTCCCCTTGCCTGATAATTTGTTCCCAAACCCATGAAATGGTACAGAAAAAGAGAAGTGTTCAGGGGGTGTTGGCCGGGGGTGGAGTATGGGAACCTGATTGGTGAGGAGCGTACTCATGTGCATGTCAGAGCCCAGACAGGGGTAGGAGGGCAGCTGGTGTAGAGTCAGTGTCAGAGTACAGAGAGGAGGAGGAAGGTGTGGCCGGGATCTTTGTTACTGCAGTGAAGCCAGTGTTGGATCCTGGAAAGGACTCATGAGATCTCACAGCACCTTTCCCTTTAGGGCTTACGAAGGCACAGGATGAGGTTCCGCAGGAGAAAGCAAGCAGAGGGAAGCATAGCCAGCCTGAGAGGCTCAGTGTCGCAGTCCCCAGGGTCACTCCTTAGTTGCACAGGACTCACTTTGTCTCCAGGTTGTAACTCATCAGCTGTGTGAGGGATGTTGGTTTCAGGAGAGCCTGGTCAGAAATGGCCAGTGGTGACTTATGTATGCTGGTCATGTAGCCAGCACAGGCCTTGTGGCCAGGTGTAAGGCATTGATCTACACTCTCTCCTCCTTAGCTTGACTAAGAGTCAGTACCAGACTTGCAGGTGTCCCTGTGATAAGCATAGAGCCGTCCTAGGCTCGTTTTAAGGTAACTATTTTATGCAGTTATGTATAGGGGTATTGATCAAATAAGCACATAGGCTAAAGGCAAGGGACACTGGAGTTCCCACTACTAGAGGTAAGAATGACAGATATGGAAAGAGAGAAAACTAGAATGAGCCCTGTGATGTATTGGAATTGCATATATTGGGGTGAACTTACGGTTTTTAATAATACAAATAGATAGTGAAATCAATATTGACATCACAAAAGAGAGTGTGTCTATCTGTCTATGTGTGTCTGTGTACTCCCTGTCTCTGTCTTCTGAGAGGCCGAGAGGACTGACCCTCCAACAGCAGTGAGACCATCTGGGGCCCAGATTTAGGCTTGTAAATACCATTTGCCACAAAAAGGAACCAGAACTCTTGGGAGAAATGGCTCACTCCGGGGATATATAAAATGAGCCTGAATATCTCGTGTCTGAAAGCCCAGAAGTGTTCAGAGAACAAGGGGATGTGTCAAAAGGACTTACAGGCCAGCTTGGATGGACTCCCACTGGCCAAGCCTGGGATAATTTGAGCATCAGTGTCAATAATAAGTATATATTATGACCCATTGGCTAAGATAGGAAACCACAAAGCCACAGAATTATAAATAAATAATCACCATCTCTCAATGGCAACCCACTTGGTGTTTTGGATTGGATAGTTCTGTTGTGAGTTGGATCGTCTTGTGCACTGTAGAAATTTAACCGCATTCTTCACCTCTGTCTGTTAGGTGTGGTAGAGGGTAAGCAGGTGGTGAGGAAGTGGCTAAGGGCAGACAGTGGAACTGAACTGTAGCTAGGAACCAATTGCAGGTGGGACTTGTTCCTGGTGGGAACAGGCACGAGGAGTTCCTAGTAATCTTTAATTGGCTTGGAGCTCATTACCATCTAATTAGCATAGCATGGGTGGAGCTTTTCTGAAGGATTTTGGGGAAGATGTATGTGTGGAAAGGAAAACCGTTAGGTAACCTGTTACGTAATCACCCCAAAGGTGGGAAACAACAACCTCTCCTGCCCAGAGAAAGGCAGGGCAAGCTAGTGAACACGGAAAAGGTGCGTGTGCGGAGACTTCAGGGTCTTTTCCACTTTGGAGACTGACCTGTTCCTCTCTGGAATGCATTTTCTCTTTGTGTACCTTCCTCTTTCACTTCACTTCATGCAGCCTCTTTCTTTTTCCTGCAATGAACTGTGGGATTGCTTTGTTATCTGTGATCCCTTCTTCATTGGCTGGATCTACACTAGGACTCATTCATGACACTGGGAACTGGGGGGCCAGGGGACATCCTGACACACCTGACAGGCCCAGCAAACCATCCAGTGATCATCCAGTCATCCATCCAATCTCCCATGAACCACGTATGACATTTTAGAATTTTTTATTGACCACTGTTGTTACAATGAAAAATTTCTCCAGACATTGAGGCAAGTGGGTAAGATTGCCCTGGTGGCGACCTCTGACACGTGAATAAATTCAGAGTTTGGTAGGGAAAAGGAGATTGGCATAGTTCTAAGTCCCCTTCCCTCTCCTCCTAGAATTCTTCCTAATTCCAAAGGGGAAAAGAATAGATCAGCAATGGAGAAGCATGGAAAATGTAAGTGATCAAAGGGACGATCTTCAGTGACAGGACAAATTAAAGCCTTGTGCCATGGGATAGGATGTAATGAAAAAAGCCCAGTGCATTTCTGCAATATTCTACCAAAGATGCCTAACGAAGATCTAATCAGGAATCAAGGATTGAGAAGTTCACTAGAGGGACGTAACACAAAGTAGCTTTGCCTGCAGCCTTCACAGTTGCCTAAAGGAGATGACAGACCTGATGGCTACTTGTGTCTCTCATAAAAGAAATGACAGGGCTGTTTGGTGAAACTTGGATGGGGGCTCAGCAGTAGATGGTCACCATGTACCAGGCTAACTTTTTGATTTTGATGGTGGTTGCACTGTGATTATATAGGGGAGTGTTTTTGTTTGTGGGAAGTATACCCTGAAGTTTATGGACATCAGGTCAGCAGCTCAATCTCACTGGTTCAGGCTGGGAAAGCAGATCTTTGTGTTGTATGTTGAACTTTTCTGTTAATTTTGTGAGGGCTTTAAAACTCACATGCAAAACTTGGGGTCAGGAGTGACAAATACTCATTTTCTTAAAAGCATCCTAGGCTCCAGCATTGGGACCCTTCCTGAGAAAAGTTTTTGTTGTTTTATGTGCCTTTAAAGGAAAAAACCTCTACCACATTAATAGAATGTTCTTTTAGAAAGAATACTGGAAAAAAAAAAATCTAAGTCCATATCGACCAACCAATACAGTAAATTCTAGAACCCGAAGTGGAAGACGCATCACTTTTCTCTGTCCTTCTCTTTCTCTCTCTCTCACTTTTGTGGATATTCCTGTGTGTGTTTTCTTTATGGCGGGAAGGACCGCTCTTTAAGCCAACCTAACCTCGTTGAACAGATTAAGCCTCCGTGATGATGTGCGAAGCTGAAGGGTGAATCTGCATTACAGACCAGTGCTTTGAACTGTCAGCCACAATATGTTTCAAGAACATTGTGAAGGGTCTTTGCTCTGATTCTCCCATAGTGTGTCTAGGAATTTCTGGATGGATAAAGCACACAGATGAAGTAACAGGCCCCGATGTTCTGTTCCATGATGTTTCTGTTGTGATGGGGCAGCTTGCTTATCTATCTGTCTGTCTGTCTGTCTGTCTATCTGTCTATCTATCTATCTATCTAGGTGGCTTGCTTATCTCTCTCTCTCTCTCTGTCTATCTATCTATCTATGGGGCAGCTTGCTTATCTCTCTATCTATCTATCTAGGTGGCTTGCTTATCTATCAATCGATCGATGGGGCAGCTTGCTTATCTATCTATCTGTCTAGGTGGCTTGCTTATCTATTTATCTATCTATGTAGCTTGCTTATCTATCTATTTTTAATTAGCACGTAGGGAAGGCCTTTGCGTCTCTCTGTACTCTTGGCTGGTTCCTCTTACTGGCACCTGTAAATGGAGATGGATGGCCAAGATTAGGCAAGCAGACCAGACCCCCAAGCAAAGCTAACCGGCCCTTGTCATGTTTGATCCCATGACATTAATCTCATCAGCCCTAACTTGCTCTGCTAATTGCACTGTTAATGACGTGACTTTTCTTCATTTGGTTTAACATGTAGCAGATAGTGCTCTGTACATCTGAGCTTCTATTTGGGTGAGCGCTAACACTTCAACCCATGAAAATAATTCAGCGGTTTTTACCCTGTTAGGAGCGTGGGTATAATCTGGGTGCATTGACTGACTGTGTGACTTTTTGTTTTCTTTCCTTTTAGTTTCTTTATCCCATATCACACAACTGGTCCTCAGCCACAACAAGCTAACAAGTAAGTGACAGTTTTCATTGGTTAAAGTTTCTGACTTTGGGGTAGTATATTACAGTCCTGCTGATTCTGTTGTTGTTTCCTTTGGAGGAAATAATGACAAATGGTTCTTTGGGGAAACCTGAAGTTTATTTTGGTGGCACCACAATACGATAGCATTTTGTCTTCCGTGTTTTGTACTTTGTGATACTTTGAAGGTTCTGTCATACTGTGTTTGGTAAACTGAAGATAGAAAATGACGTCGTTGCTCTGGAAATGGTTCTATTCAGGGATGGTACATTCTGTGGTGACCTCAGCTGCCCGGTCATTGGTTAGTATTATGTAAGGAGAACTTAACTTAATAAAGAAAAAATCAGAATGAGCTTTTTGTGTTCGTGTGTATTTCCTCCTCAAAAGAGAAAGCTCACCATTGAATATGCTTTTCTCCTTTCTGCCCGATAGAGGGAAAAACACAAAATTATGTACGTTATATACAACTTACAAATCATGCAAATTATATACAAAATACATATGCAAATGTATTTTGCATTTGCATTTTTCAATTTTTGAGTCTGGTTTCCTCTCTTCCCCACCCTCCACCCCCCAAAAAAGAGAACAATGACAATTTTCTTGGGCATCAATAGTGTCATGGTCTGTTTTTATAAGAATATCTCTTGTGAAAGATGGGCCGTTTTATTCTTAGAGCTGTGGCTTTAAAGATTTTAATGACAGAGCCCCACTGTCTTTCTGATTCCTAATTGACTGTCACTCCTTTGTGCTTGCCATATTTCCTGCAGACTTGAATGATTTTCTAATCATGTGGCAAGAATTTGTTAGGGGGCTGTCCGAGCCCGGGTGAAATTGAGCCGAATGTCATGTTGAGGGATTTGTGTCGTGAATTGATGTGTGTATGTGCATTATATAGAGCTTGAGGCAGTGTCACAGAGCTGTTGATTATGGAGAATTAAGAGTGGCAGCAAAGGCCCCTCATGTGCAAGAAACAGGCGGATTAGTTCATTCTTAGCCAGAGTGCATATTTGTAAGGCAGAGGCTGAGGAGCACAGTTGTCACATTTAAGCAGTGGCAACCACAAGTCGTGTGTGTGATCGTTGTTGTAACAGGTAATAGGTTGCCAGCTCCATTGTTCTTGTAGCAAACGGTCCTGCGGTCCATGGAGACCCTAATCCCAGGTCCGAGGGGATTAGTGGTTTGTTTTGAAGGGTGAGCCGCACTGATCCCTAAATTCCCCAAGATTTTGTGAGCAGAAATTTCTGGTACCTTATGTCACATAGTTCATAAAAGTACATCTTAATTGCTTAGCTGACCGTGGTTAGGTGTGGGTCACTGTTACAGCAAGCCGGTTTCTATTTACACAAAAAGCCAAACAGTCTTTGTTCCTATTATATCTGTCATCGATCTGTTCTTTAAAAAAAAAAATCTTTCAAATAGTGTAGTTTATTTCTTTTCTGCATGTTCACAAAGATAGAAATTCAGAGATCGATAGATCAATTTTGTTCTCCAGGCATATAATATTAGATTAATTTAGAGAGGCATACGTAGGGCGTTAAATTCTGTTGTCTGTTGAAGAGGTTGGCCACGAATGCATTCAAACTTTGTATTTTTTCTTTGCCTATTTTTTCCCCTCCCGCTCCACTTGAGACACTTTTGACCTAATCCAGTAAACTCTAATTAATCGTCTCGGTAAATTCTGTTTCAAGCCGTTGTGAATAGTGTCAGTGACATCCAATCTGTTACACGAAGGTCAAATTAGCATCTTTTACTATTTTTCTGGCATTTAAATGAATGACTTTGCTACGGTTTTTCAAGTGTTTATAGTAAATATGTCCATTTGATGGAAATATAAATATGCATTAAATGTAAGTGGCTGAGCACACCCTCCTGTCACTTTTTATCGTAATCAGTGTCTTTCTCTTTCTGTTGTTTTTAATAGGGACTGGCTGACAACGTCACATTAAAACCATCGGGACTCAAACAATAAACCCCTCGGCACTACTCTGATCTTGCAAAAATATTTGTGTTTTTCTCTTAGTTTGCCAATCACACCATTCTCTGACATCTCCTCCTGTGTGCTCATGGGATGAGTGACTGGTTTGCTCAAACTGGGATCTTGATTTGGAGACACTAACTCCACTTAGGACACTGATAGCATCAGAACAGTGTGGTACTAGGTCGACTTCCCATTTCTTGCTAGTGGATTTGAACTTGACAGGTGCACTCGAGGTAGTACAATGGCAGCCTAGGGGATGCTGAAGGTGGACTGTGTGATCCCAGAACTCCTCAGATTTTGTGAGCAGAAATGCCTAAAGTCTTCTATAGTGCCGTTCAATGAAAAATATTCTAACACTGTTAATTGCTGTTAGAGGTTCATCTCGAGTAGAGTGAACCTATTTAAATTTAAACCTGGGGGATTGGGGCAGTGTTGATGGGATTTTGGTGAAATCAGTGGGGGAGTTAATCTGTCTGCAGCAACCTTCCTAGATATCTTGTATATTCATAATGTCTTTAAGGAGATTGGAGGATGAGTAGCAAGGGAATCTTTTTCTTCTGCCTTTTTGCTGTGATTGGGCGAGTATGAACAGATGTTCTTTCTGGCCCAATGGGAAGAATTTCAGAGTGAAGAGCCTTTTGGAAACACCATATTCCCTGCGTACCTGGCTGGAATGCTGCACACACCTGACAGAAGTTCACTCTCTCTCTCTCTACCCCCTTCCACCTAATCCATCCATGCCATGCCAGCTTTCCACCCAGTTGTTGCTGCAAGACTGATCTTCTTTCCTCATGCAGGCCCCGACTGAGTCCATGGCCTGCTCCTGGCTCCTCTCCCATCTCCCCCCTGCACAGCCCGCTCCATCCTCTCCGGGAGGCCCCCTGACTGCCCCGAACCCTCTTCCCCTCTCCGCTCTTGCTAGTGGACTTTCTGAAATCCACTCAGCACTGCCTCTGTCCTCTCTCCTTCTGCATTCCTTCCGTCTGCACACCAATAAGCTTCTGTGAAAGCAGCCCTGGCTCTCACTCTTACTGAATGCCCATGGCTGAGCACAGAGTGGCTCCCCATTAACTGGTATAAATTGATGAATCATTCTAAGGAGGTGCCTGGCTGACAGGGCAAGCCTGAGAGGAAACCGCTGTCCCCACGTAAAGTGGGGGAGCATTGGGACCATGTGGTTTCCTCCTGGTTAACCGGAGTGGGGACTCGAGTATCTGTGGCTGTGTGCTCATTTCACACACACTGGACTATGAACGCTCTAAAGATACATGACCTTGTGTCCATGAAATCGACGTCCATGTCATCTTTCCAGCCATGTCACTGTTAAGGAATGATGTGTGGTGCGTGAGGCACTCCGGTACCTTAGAGAAAGGAGCCACAGGTGGGGAAACTGGCGTTCTGACCACCACCGTGCCTCCTTCCACCCGGTGACCCTGGTGGGCTGTGCTGTGCCCTGAGTGTGCCTTCTTCCAGAAAGCCTTCCCTCACTACGCCAGGGCAGGGTCTGTTCTCTTTCACTTGAAGTTAGTTTTATGTATTTAAAGCCCCAGATTATTGCCTGATTTGCTCATCCAGTGAATTGCATTGTAAGTTGCTGGAGGTTGGAGACCTTGTCTGACACTTATTTTGAGTCCCGCTTCTACAGAAGTGCCCAAAGCATATTGCACGTGTGACAGGAGCACAGTTAATGCTGGTTGACTGGTGGGTTCTTTAGGCGATGAGAGCCTCTGAGATGCCCTACCCAGGGAATGCCTGCTGGAAGCGCCACTCTGGGAAGGGAAGGCAGCACTCACTCTATTGGCTGTCTTCCTGTCTCTTTGCCCTCCCCTTCCTGCCCCTTACTTCTGTAGTTACCCTGCCTTTAAGCCAATCTGCTCCTTAATCTGATTCTGGAGTCTTAGGGTGCTTGGGAGGTGTTAGCTTTGTCAGTGTTTTTCTTAAAAGGGCATTTTTTTCAGAGACAACCATTTTAAGGCTTGTCCACTAGAGGTCACTGTTGAGATACCTATTTTTTTTCCCCCCTCCGATCCTGAGTATAAAGATGAGAAACCAACTTTGTGTTGTCAGAGGGAAATTTTTTGCAGGATTTTCAGCTGTGCACCACGGGGCATGTTGCTATTGTTATTTACATAGCACAGTTGTTACCCAGTTTAAGACAGGGCCTTATAGAAGGAGGTCTATTACTTTCTTTTTGTTTTCCTCCTGCAATTAAAATATTCAGGTTCACATATCAATTTTTAGTGTTTATTGTGGCTACTTTCTTGAATTAGAAACATTTTTTTTCCTTCCAATATATTTAACTTGGAAGACTTGGACTGCTTTCTGTAGAGTATTTTACATTTGGCATATGTGATAATTTTTTTTTTTTTTACCTGTGGAAGATTTAAAATATTTATAGCCAAATTTTAATTCAGAGATCACTGTAAAAATCACGAAAATATGGATTTTATGCATATTTGTACTGATTCTTTTATTAGTGAATACAGTTGTGTAGGGAAGAAAACTATACAGTATAAAATGTAGTATTTCTGCATCAGTGATAAAACAATCTCTAGGAATGATTTTTTTTCTTTGAGATAGTATCTTGCTCTGTTGTCTTAGGCTGGAGAGCCATGGCATCACCTTAGCTCATAGCCACCTCAAACTCCTGGGCTCAACGACCCTCCTGCCTCAACCTTCTGAGTAGCTGGGGCTACAGGAGCCTGCTACCAACTGCCACCACACCCAGCTAGTTTTCTTTCTTTCTTTTTTTTTTTTTTAGTTTTAATAGAAATGGGCTCTCACTCTTGCTCAGCGTGGCCTCAAACTCCTGGGCTCAAGCAATGCAGCCTCCCAAAGTGCTAGAATTATAGGTGTGAGCCTCCGTGCCTGACCTTGGGCATTACATTTTTAAATTGAAGCTTTTCTTAAACTTTTAAAATAATTGTGTTCCTACAGCAACACCCACATACAAATATCACAAGTGCCTTAAATAGGATAACAGTATTTTATATTTTTGTGAGGCATGCATGTCGGG